TGGACAAACATCTAAAAAGATTCAGACAAGACTAACAGAACACCAGAACGCAATCAACAGACACGATCATAGCTCACTTCCAGCTAAACACACAGACGACAACGGACATAAATTCGACTGGTCTCAAACGAGATGCCTAGGACAAGCAACTACTAAACATGCCCGTGAGTTTAAAGAAGCGTGGCATAGTTTAGACAAACAAACATTTAACTGTCACATTGACATCCCTGCAATTTACTTACAACTGAAACGCTCGCACAATTCTTCTAATTCATCTTCATTAACCTTTAACACACCCTCAACTTCCTTCCCTACACCGTCTCATGGTAACAATAATTATATATATATATATATATATATATATATATATATATATATATATATATATATATATATATATATATATATATATATATATATATATATATATATATATATATATATATACAGGGTATATCAAAAAAAGCGCAATCCTCGACTGAAATGTAAATTGCTAAACAAATAATAGATGAAAACGTTAAAGTTTACATTCATTTTAAAGCGTAGCCATTCAGCTTTCTAACAGTGGGTTGTTTCTTAAATTTGACTCATTGGTTCGCGGGTAATAATACTTTACGTTATTGCGATTGGAGATTAAAAAAATTGAGATATGGAATAACAAATCGTTCTCATGAAAATAACTGATTTTTTCATTAAAACAAAAAAATGTTGCATTTTATTAAATGGATTGTAACAATAAGTATAATTACGGCTTTTCTTCCACTATTTTTAACTCAGTTTGAAATTTCAAATGCGATATCATTTTGGCTTGGACCATCTAAGCTGACTGACATCAACTTGCTATAATTTCTGTTGACATTACATCGCAATTCGATGACACTCTGGCTCAGACACCAGAATGTTTTGACGATTTTTAGCATTCGTTTAGGATTTTCAAACAACCTGGTCTCTTTTAAAATACTTTTAATTTGTTCTTACGTGGTTTTCCAGATGTAGTGACGATAACATTAAAGTTTAAAGAAGAAAATTCTAACATTTAAACCGACTAAACAATAACATAGTAAACTTGCATAATTAAACAGCAACTAAAAATAATAGGTTTTACTAAATCTTTTCCTGTGCAATTATTACTAGCATTGGAGACAAGGATATTAGTTTGTTTGAAAGAGAAAAGAACAGGCTTTGAAGTAAGCCTAAAAGCGTTTAACTAGAAATAGTATTTCGAAAGTTATTAAAAAGCACAAAAAGATAGATTGCGTTTATTTTGATACACCCCTGTATTTATTATTTATATATATATATATATATATATATATATATATATATATATATATATATATATATATATATATATATATATATATATATATATATATATGTTTAAAGATTTGTAATCCAGGCATATTATAATTAATTAAAGTTCTCCGGATTGAAATATACTTTTATTTAAATAAAAGTATAGTTCAATCCGGAGAACTTTAATTAATTATATATATATATATATATATATATATATATATATATATATATATATATATATATATATATATATATATATATATATATATATATATATATATATATATATTTAATTAAGTAATGTACATATGTAATTTTAATCTCAGTATTCTGAAGAAGGCTCGAAGTACCGAGTCGAAAGCTCAATAAAAGTATATTTCAATCCGGAGAACTTTAATTAATTATATATATATATATATATATATATATATATATATATATATATATATATATATATATATATATATATATA